CGGGCGAGGTCCGCGGCGGCCCGGGGCGCCCCGCCTCCCCCACGACGGGGCCTCACGGGAGACAGGCCTGAGCCGCGGACGGGGAGCGAGTCGAGATGGGTCCCAGGCGGACCCCGGGGCCGGGTCCACTCTTCGGACGGTGTCCGCGGGTCTCGGCCCCGCCACGGGCGGAGAGCGGAGACGGGGCTGTGGCCTCGGGCTCGGGGGTGCTGGGCTGCGGAGTGACCCCGAGAAGCTGAGTTCCCGGACGGGTCGGGCGGCGTGTGTCCTCAGTCACGGCTCCCTGACGGAAGATGCCTTCCAGCGCCTTCTGTCCTGCATTTAAAAAAAAAACAAACATGTTTGGTGGTGGTGCTGGGATTCGAACTCACGGCGTGACACTTGCTAGGCAAGCAGCTCACCACGTGAGCCATGCCCCCGCCGTCCCCCCACCCCCCTTTCCCTCTCTCCTTTAGGTATTTTTCCTGTAGGATCTTTTTTTTCTTTTTTCTTTTTTTCAGGTCCGAGATTGGGTCTCAAACTCGGTATCTGATGCTTTTCACTTCCTGGCCAGCCCTCTACCAATTGAGCTACACCTCCAGCCCCTCCAGAGAGGATCTTGTGGTTTTGCTCTGACTGGCCTGAATCCTGACCCTCTCTACCCCTGGCCTCTTAAGAGCTGGCATGACAAGGGCATGCCACCACACTCAAGTTAGTGCTTGAGATGGAGTCTCTGTTTTTTTTGTTTTTTTGCCCAGGTTGGCCTTGCACTGTGATTTTTCTGATCCTTGCCTCCAGCGGAGCAAGGATTACAGACATGAGCCATATCACTGAGCCTTGAATTTTTTATTTTTATTTTTGGTCAGTTGTGGGGCTTAAATCTGGGCCTGGGCACTGTCCCTCAGCACTTCAGCTCAAGATGAACTATCACTTGAGCCACAGGACCGCTTCTGTTTTTCTGGTGGTTCATTGGCACTAGAAGTCTCACAGAGGTTCCTGCCTGGGCTGCCTTTGAACCATGCTCCTCAGATCTCAGCCTCCTAAGTAGCTAGGCCTACAGGCGTGAGTCACTAGCGCCTAGCTTTGAGCCTTGAATTTTTTGATGAAAGGTTCTGAATATAAGATGAGGTCCATGTCTGTTTCAGGGGACCCAACCACTTTTCTTACCACTCTGAGACCAAAACTAGAAGTTGCTTCTTTATGTGTGCCATGCAGGAGACATAGATATGAATAAAAAATGACAAGAGAAGGGTGGGAGACTTGCCTTCTACATCAGAACATGCGGTTACCAAAAGAAAGTGGAGGTGGTTTGTTTGGGTGCTGGGACTTTGAACGCAGGCCCAGATGCTGTCCCTTGAAGTTTCACTCAAGTTAACATTGCTACTCAAGCCACACCTCCACTCCCAGCTTTTTTTGGTGATTAGTTGGAGATGAGTCCCTCAGATTTGCCTTGCCTGGGCTGGCTTTGACCCCTGATCCTCAGATCTCAGCCTCCTGAGTAGCTAGGATGACAGGTGTGAGCCACCAGCACCCAGCAAAAGAATGTTTCATTCGGCCTGTATTTCCACCTCAGCCAGCACAAGGCCATTCTTTGGAGTTAGACTGATGGTGTGTGCTGAGTGTTTACATTAGTTAGGAATAATGACTACAAACCACCGGCTATTTGACAAAGCCAGGGAGGAATGCGAACATCTCCTTGTGGAATTAACCCTGGGGTTTGGTTTTCAGTTAAAAATGAGAGAGAAGGAGAGGCTAAGCAAGACCTTCCAAGGCCCAGCCGCTGTCTGCCGAACTCCAGGCAGCCACGCTCGCGTGTTCCGCAGTGGCAGTGGGGACTCAGAGGACTCCTCGGAAGAAGAGTCACAGCGAGTGGCTCTGCGGCCTCGGGGCAGAGAGCGCCAGAGGAGCCTCCATCCTCAGCCTGGAGCAGGCTCCGTGGTGCTGCTGCAGCGCGAGCTGGCCCAGGGCGACAGCCTCAACAAGCTGGCTCTTCAGTATGGCTGCAAAGTAAGCCGCCCCATGCTCTGCGGTGTGGTGGTGGGGGGAGGAGGTAGCTAAGACCAGAAGGCAGGTGGAAATACCTTGCATTCTGAATCCCAGGTTCAGTAAGCAGGAAGCCAGCCTTCCACACAATTCTGAAACTTGGAAGGGTGTGTGTGCGTGTGCGTGCGTGCGTGTGCGTGCGTGCGTGCTGGTACTGGGACCTGAACTCAAGGCCTAATGCTCTTGCTTGACTCTTGCTCATAGCTGCTCCTCTACCACCTGTGCTGCGTTTCCACTTCTGGCATTTTGCTTGTCTGTTGGAAATAAGAGCCTTGAGTATTTGTCTGTCTACCCATGGTGGCTTTGAACTGAGATTTCAGATCACAGCCTCCCGAGTAGCTAGGATTATCGGTGTGAGCCACTGGTGCCTGGCTCATTGTTTCTTTTGAGCACATTTTATTTACGGCTTTGGGGGTGGCAGGTGGGGGAGGGTTGCTGGAGATATAGACAGAATTTACCCAGGATTCCCTTGTCATTCTTGCTTTTCTCACTGCCTTAATTTTTCCTGACCTTTTCTTGGCGGTAGCTTATCTGACTGGTAAAGTTTGCCCTTTGCTCCTTTAGAAATGCATGATTTTTCTCTATGCTGTATATTCTTGTAACCCTCTTTTTCTCTTTAATTCTGGTTTTAGCACTCAGAGTGATTAACAATGGCAAAGTAAGTAGGAAAGTATTTATAGAATTGCTGCACTTTATTTTCCTAGATTGAAACGTGTATTTTATTTTTGCCAACACTGTGCTACATAATCCTGTGGCCTTCCCTACGGCTGTATATGTTACTTACTTTAAAAAAAAAATCTGTCTTCACTTTCTTCAAGTGTCTGTCGTTTCCCTAATGGCTGAGCAGATGGTGGGGGGACGTGGGTCTTTCCCAGGCGCAGGAGCTCCAAAGAGACAAATGGCATCATTAAATTGTTCTGACATTTATATTTTTTACAGTCAGCTTCTGTTGCATAACATACAGTTTATAGAATATGGGCTGAAGATGAAATCCTACCTTACAAAGACTTAGATCAGGTGGAAAGGTGATATCTGATAAATCTACAGAGAACATCTGATCGTTTTTCCTACTGGGACTAGATAAGTTTTGCTATTAGTGTATTAACAGACAAAAACCCAAAGCTGTCAAACATCGATATTCACTAGTCTCAGAACACAATAAAACATGTCCCCCTTTGCCAATGCCAGGAAATGGTAGTTGCTAAACAGAATAATAGACAGTTGCCAATTGTCTTGAATGAGGGTCTGTGTAAATTTCAGTGGGCTGTATTTTTATTCTTCTTTATGTTAACCTTCCAAGGTAAAGTAAAACTTTGACTCCATTTCTAATGCTTTTGGGATTCTGTTAAAATGAACTTTAAGAAGTGTATGTATAGCTATGTGTTTTGTGCCTCATTTAGCTTTTTTTTTTCTCTCATGGCTGGTGCTCTATCACTTGAGGCATACCTCCAATCTGGCATTTTGCTGGTTAGTTGGAGATGGAGTCTCGTAGATTTTTCTGCTCAGGCTGGCTACCTTGATCTTCAGATCTCAGCCTGAGTAGGTAGGATTGTAGTTGTGGTCTGCTAGTCCATACCCTTTTTCTCTCTTTTCCCAAAGGTGGTGATCAAACCCAAGGCCTTGTGTACGCCAGGCAAGGGCTGCATCAGTGAGCTGCATGCCCAGCTCTGCACGTCTTCATATTTGCCGTGCACGGCTCCCCCTTCCAATCACAAGAGGAGATGGTGTGGATTTTGTGTTGAGAAAACTCACAGCCAAGTCGTTTGGCTTAAATTTTGAATGGAACACCTCAGTCCAAAAAGTTTCACGTGCCCTGATGAGCACTGTGGCATCTACAAAGTTAACTACCAGTCACTTTTATTTGTGTAAAGTATATATGCCCAGTACAAGGGCCCTACAGGCAGAGCAGGCTCTGTGTGGCCAAGCTGGGGCACCTGTTGCAAAATGCTGTTTGTTTCCTTCAGTTCCCGCGTGACCTTGAAATCATAGAAGGTTACTGTTGCCTCCCAAGCAAAGAGAAACAGAAGAGGCTACAGTCATTTCATTTTAGGGCTATGACTGTTTCACCTCTAAAAGCTTTTTTTTAGTGGAAGCCACATTTCATGAAGTTTCTAAGACTAATGTCAGATCTGTCGATTAGTGAGCTTTTCACTAAGAGTAAAAGCCTCCAAATAAATGCTTCAACTCTTGGTTGGGGAGGATATGGTCTGACCTTGGCCAGGTTTGGTTTCAGGGCCAGATCAGTTTTAATTATCTTCACGTGTATTTTGATGTGTGCATCTTCGTGGCTTCCTAGGTAGCAGATATCAAGAAAGCCAACAACTTCATCAGAGAACAAGACTTGTACGCGTTGAAGGCGATCAAGATTCCAGTGCAAAACCATGGGATTCTAACAGAGACCCACAGAGAACTCAAACCGCTCCTCGCCCCGTCCTCAGACACCAGAGTAACCGTGGAACTCCCGGACACAGAGGGACCAGCTGCCTGTGGGGACGCAGCCACGCAGGCGCACACCAGTCACCTGACAGATTTCTTCAAGGGGATCGACCAGAATATTGAGCGCGCAGTGCAGTCAGAGGTCTTCCTAAGTGAGAGCTACTGTGTGGAGACCCCCGACCAGCCACTGCTCCCAGCTCCGCCCAGGACCCCAGCAGACGGGGCCGACTGGGGTATCCAGTGGTGGAACGCTGTTTTCCTCATGCTCCTCGTTGGGATTGTTCTGCCTGTGTTTTATCTGGTCTATTTTAAGATCCAGGCTACCAGGGAGACCCCTGCTAGCCTGAACACAACTGCCAACCCCAATGGCTCCATGGCACTGAGCGCACTTGCAGGACCGGCCCCCGGGTTAGGGAGCCCTGCACCTACCTCCTCTTCAGCCAGCCAGCTCAGCCACCTCTCCCAGGCAAGGACCTAAGCTCTCAGGTTTCGAGAATCGGCCCAGCTTTAGCAGGTGGCTTGTGTTCTGCATCAGTTCTTGTTGGCCACATGCTGGGGGCAAGGCTGCGTTTTGTTTCCTGGTGCTCTGGATGGTAACTGGACCCTGAGAAATGGCCTCTCCTGATCCAAGACCATCCCCCTCCTTCTTCCCCCCCCCCCCCCCCCCGCCCCCGGGCTACCCAAAGAGATGCAGGAGGAGAGACGTTGACAGGTGACTAGTCGCAGTTTCTTGGTGACACCTGGCAGGTTGGCAGTACTCAGAGGGAAAGGACCGGCCTGCCAGGGCACCTGCTGTGTGGACACGCGGGGCTGGGTCAGGTAGTGGTCGTGGTGTTCCCCACCCGCTATGGAGGGGCTAGGAGGTTGTTTGGTGTCACCGCCGCACAGGTGCTATGGAAAAGTACTGCCTGTCACCCAGTTAAAACCATCACGAGCCCTACTTCCCCTCAGCGAGCCTTGTAGAGGGGAATGCCACTTCTAGGATTGAAAAGGCCCTCAACCCAAACCACTATCTGATTGGGTAAGCACCAGTTCTAGCCCTGAGAGCAGGTAATCCACGCACCCAGGAGCCATTGTCCTCATTCACAAGAAACCCTTGTTTTACCCCGCCCCCCCCCCAATGGCCACCTGCAGTATCTCAGGTGGCGTCTTGGAAGGAGCTCTTGCTGCCTTACTGCCAGCCACCAAGGTTCTAGCCTGTTCCAACCCAAGGCCGAGCAGCTGCCTGGCTGGCATCAGGGAGGAACCTGTGTGCCCGCAAAGCAGAGTTCTCTTCCTGCTGCTTCCCTGGCTCCGTTCGTAGAGCCAGAAGGTGGTTTAGCCCTTTCCTTCTGAGGCCTTTCCCCTAGAGTAACCCTTTTTAAGCAGTGTAGCTAACTGTTAAAAGAGGAGATATTTAAAGAAAGGGCTGGACAGGTGTGGTGCTCAGCTCTCTGTTACTGTAACAAAATACTTGATATAAACAATTCACAAGGCAGAAAGGCTTGTTTGGGTCTGATTTCATGGGCTTCAAACCATGGCAGGTCGGCCTGCTTTGAGGTTTGTATTGGGTGACACGTGGCAGGGAGTATGACAGCTGAGACAGGGAGGAAGGGGCTGGGGTCCCAAGACTCTCCCACACCCCTTCGAGGTCCCCTCACTTCTTAGTGGTGTTGGCCAAGCTGAGGACCAAGCCTTTAACACACAAGGGTCATTGGGAGACATTGAAGATCCACACCACAGGATGGCTGTGGCCATCAAAAGCCATAAAGAGACCTGACACCTGAGGTTTGCTCATCCCTCTTCTCTGAGAGGCGCCGGCCATCGTAGGAGAGCAGGTTTGGGCTGCTTTGGCCTCCTGAGTCACAGCAGGAAAGGTGTGAGGTGGCTGGCGGCCTGATGAGAGACCTGCGGACAGGGAGAAAACCCTACGTGAATGTGATCCTGGGACACAAGTGTGGCATTTGACACCTGAGGTCTCACCAAGCGTAGGGAAGGGGCCACCAGCATTTGAGCTAGGTTTCCAACTGCTGTCTCCTCTGTGGAAAAGACGGCTTGCCCGGGCTTCAGTGAGCGTCTTCAAAATTAAATGTTTTCTTAAGAGACCAAAATGATCTTCAGAATAAAATGAACTGGTGACCTTTGGCACGGGGACCATTTGGGCCACATACATGCTCCTCCAACTCAGCCTGTGCCCACGGTGCTGAGTGCCACAGGTCTCTTATTAACGTTTGTCACCAGTCAGAGGGAGGGTGGGGGGATGGCTTTTGCAAGGAGTAAGCAAAGAACAGATGTCTCTATCTGTTACTTTCCACCACTGGAATAATTTTCTTTGTGAAGGAAAAAAGAAGGCCCCTTTTTAATTTAGCATCAGACCATTGTTCAGGTTTCACGTGGACACGTCCCCATGTGCATCCAATGTGCATTACCCAGACTCACCCCTCCACCCTTCTCTCCACCCCACCTGTTCCCCAAATCCCAATAAGCCAAGCCTCAGAGAATCATCTTGTATATCTAGTTTGGAAATAGACTGATACGAGTAACGAACCTATACATAATTACAAATTTAAAATAATATCAGAACACTAATGGCGGAGCCCAACTGTATTAAATGTACAACACACACACTGAGTGGGGTGGGGGAGGAGGATTGGCACAAAAGGAAAACACTGTGGATAATAAAAAGCCCAAACCAAAAAAGCTGCAACTACATAGATCTCCCACCTCACGAATAAATGTGCGTCCCTCACACAGGTCTGAGTTGGCGGCTCTGGAACTGGTTTATGTATATATTTGAACTGAGTAAGAGACACTGTCGCTAGCAAGAACTAGATTTTTTACTGTGAGAGAAATAAGCCACAAGTAAAAAAGGCAGACAAACCAAACCTGTGAACTGGAATCTGACGCCCCTGGGATTGGGTGAGGCAGGTCTTACCTGGTGGAGTTCCTGGTGGCCAGAGCTGGGACAATGTAAGGAAGAAAATAGTACATTAAAACAAATCCATGATACACAGATACTCATTCCTTACCGTAGAACTCCAATTGATAGGACTGGATGAAAACAGGCAATGACTACAGACATCGTTCATCAGTGGGTGAACGTTCATGGAGAAACTATCTTCTCATGGTGTAGGTAGCTGGGAGAAGATATTTACCATTACAAGGGGAAAGATGGTAGAAATCGGCTGTCCATGAGATGAAGGTTATCCAACTGTAGTAGAAGACTGACCCCGTCACCTTCATGGTGCACTAAAGACATATCACTGCTGTGATGATGTTGCCCAAATATACAATCTCATGCCAGTCCAGGAGAAACATCAGAGAAGCCCACAACTAAGCAGACCTGCAGACCTGTAAGACACTGGATGAACGAACGAACGAACGATGGTGCAGGTCTCCAACTGAAAGGTATTATGGAGGCTGCTACCACTTACAACCTATGGTAACACCTAGGGCAAGGCGCCTGAGGGTGGCGAACAGACTAGGAACTTGCAGTATTTTTGCTCTTGTTTTTGGTGCTAATTCTGGGATTTGAACTCAGGGCCGGGGCAGTCCTTGAGCTTTTGTGCTCAAGGATACCACTTGAGGCATAGCTCCACTTAGTTTCTGGCTTTTTTGGTAGTTGGAGATAAAAGTCTCACACTTCCCTAACTGGGCTGGGTTTGAACTGCTATCGTCAGATCTTAGCCTCCTGAATAGCTGGGATTACAGGTGTGAGCCACCAGTGCCTGACTGCAGTGAACTGATTAAAGAGCTTTCACGGTAGCCAGTTTTAGCCACAGGATTCAAACAGCTTTCTAAACCATCTAACAAGAGCCTCACTGCAGTCAGGGAAACCCTGTACAAAAATTTAGCTTGGATTACTCCTACATCCAAGAATCTGCCTAGCTCAGAGCTGGTTTACAAAAACAAATGAGACGAAGAATAAATTTTCCAATTTCAAGGTTAGATACGTTTTTCATTTTTTTAAAATAGCTATGAATAAGAAAGATGTCCACTGAGATGTACGTACCCAAATAAAGCTGCCTTCTAGTGCTTCTTCCTTGATATGTAAACTGGACAAATTGTTTCACTTCTGAATTCTAAAGTTAAATGGATCTAGTGTAAATGCTGACAATATCTGCCCCCAACACACACTCTCAAGATTTTCTAGTGTCCCTGGAGCCTCAATAAGTTTGCAACTGATCCACATCAGAAAAGACAATACCCCAGCTAACCCCACACCCCAGGGCGGGGTGGCTGGCTGCTTCTTGAGGGCTCCAGTTCTGCCTAACACTGCGTGTGGCGTGAGCCTGGTGAATTCTGGGCAGTCTCCTAAGCACATCTCCAAATGAGGCCAAGGCTCTCATGAGAGCACAGGAAAAGGAGAGTGGTGGGGGAATAGGGCTGCCTGGTGGCCAAGCCAGTGTCTACTGGTCCCCAGGGAAACATGACAGAGTCTGGGTGTGCGGTAAGAGTCAGGCTGTCTTTACTGGGTGAGTGCAGGAGACAAACAGTTCACAGCAACCTCTAGCATCGTCTTAACCATTTGATAAAAAGTTCACTATAATATTTATTGTATAATGAAGAAAAAACAACACATTCAGGGAAAAAATTGAGATTAACTTATTTTTCTTAAAAGGTTCATCTCAAGGATGGCAACAAAGTCCAGCTTGTGCCGCCAAACGGTTTTCCATGATCAAACCGTGTACAGCTTCTTGTGTGAACTGTTGACTACAAACAATTACCAAATACATAAATCTCTTTTTTTAAAAAAGCCATTTTAAATATAGCAAAGCAGTGTCTTCTTGCACAGCAAAGTGAAGAAAGTTTCTACAGAGAAATAAAAGTTTTACATTTGTAAAATCTTTTTTTTTCACATTCTAATTATCTAGCTTTTTAATGAGCCAATGCCAGGAGTTTTCAGGTTCCTTATTTACTATGTATTTCTTGTGTGCACGATGGTGAAAACAGAAATTATGTGAATGCATTATTACTTGTCCTTACTGTTAAAAGGAAATGGCAAAACATGAATTGTTCTCTTTGAACAAACCCCTGATTTAGTCACTAACACAATGGACATAATTAGGGCTCAAAAGATGGAGTTCTGATTGGGACCACCTGTGTTCCCCCCAGGGAGACTTCCATTCTCAGTGCTGAACCACGCAGGGTACCGCGGGAAGTGCAGCTGCTGGGGGCTGCCTTGAGCCAGGGTCATGGAAGCTTTTGTTGTTTTAGTTTTACTAATACTTCATCTGAAGGGATAGGACTTTCCTGTGGTAGTGTCTTCTACAAAACACACGAGTCTAAAAGGGTCACAGGACTGGTTCTCAAGTCACCCGTCAGTGTCTTCCTTGCTTAGGTTGGTTTCTACTGAGACATGGAGATGTGGATGTGTTCACACATGGGCGTCTGGGTGAAGGATGTCTGTCGAGTCCATACGCTCCAAAAATCATACTTGGGCGTATGGGAAAAAAGGTTAACAGTCAAAGATTCAGTTCCTGAAAACGGAATACATTGTTACTTGGTCAGTATAATTTAAATACAAACTCCGAGCCTTGTGTAATAGAATTTTAGAAAAAACAGTAGTTGTACTGATTATAAACCTGCATAGAAAGAAAGACTAGTAAGATACAGTCAGAAAAGCCATCTCATAAGGCACACAAGAAAATAGACAGTAAATGTGAATGTG